AATTATGTCAAATATAGAAACAAACATAGATATTGGCCAACCAGCTCCCTCTTTAAGTCCTTTTATATCAAAGGAAAATTTAAAACATTTAAGCTCCTCTTCATAAGAAAGTTCTCTGAATATAGGAAACATAATAAATTGGTATCTGAAGCGACGGTAAAGGGGAGGAGGTATCTTAAAAACTGTATAGTTTTTGAGAGAAGTCTTAAAATACACAGTTTACTCTTGATTCCAGTGGATTTTTCCTGTGGCTTTCTCCGTTTTATCAAGATACTAAATTTTACTTTCACAATTGTCTTGGCAAAATGGGTTGTCCGTGCTGGCAGAGTTTGTGTGTTTTTGTTTTTTTTTTACATCATCATCTTAAGGAATTGAAGATGATTTGGTTCTTACATAATTATTTGAAAGCGGATTTTTATGGAGGAAATGGTGTGTGTTATTTAAAAATTATTTCTGAAATAATTGATTCTTTCACATGTGGTCCTAGAAGCGTAGTGCAGCCTGAGAAATGGCTAAGAATTCCTGACAGTTGTGACGTATAAAAACCATATATACCTTAAAAAAACCCCAAAAACCTCACCCAGAAATCTGCACAGGTCACTTTCAGATAGCAGATAAGAGAAGACTGGATGTGGTGATACTTTATAGATTTATTTTATGGAAGCCTTCCGTGTCCTGCAGGTATGCACAGGCCTGAGGTATGCACAGGCCTGACTTTGTTGTTTTGTTTTTGTGTTTTTATTTAAGAGAAGCACCGACCAGTTATTTTGGATGCAGTGAGAGTATTTGCTTTATGCCGGTTTTGCCTCTCTCATGTTTTAGACAACCATAAAATCTGAATGGTTTGGGTGGGAAGAGATCTTTAAGCCCACCCAGTCCCGCCCCCTGCCCCGGGCAGGGACACCTCCCACCAGCCCTGCTGGCTCAAAGCCCCCTCCAGCCCGGCCTCGATGAAAACCTGGGCCACAAGAAATGAGATGTTCGTGGCCCAGCTGCTCTGTGGAGGATTTAAGCCACCAGGTGCTCCCCAGTTGCGGGCCATCTCCTCTCAAAGAGGTGCCTGGTGTGGAGGCTCCAGGGTGCTGGTGGGGTTTGACCCGGGTGCTCTCCTCTAGGCTCTTTTAATGCAAGATGAAACTTGAGTGGATACTGAAAAACTAGGTAAGTTTCCTGGGGTGTGTGCCTCGCTTCTTTCTTTAACTTTTTTTTAAATTCTATCATTTTTCACGGTTCATGGGAGGTCAGGGCCTTGCAGCTGGGGCCTGTCCCACTGCCCCAGGCCTGGACTCCAGGTGTTTCTGGTGGGGGGCTCCCAGCCTGCGGGTAGGCCCGGCTGGGCTGTGGGGACTGGGGCAGGGTCTGAAGCCCCCCCAGGGGGCTGACATGGAGTCTTGGACCCTGGGCAGGGCAGGGGGAGCAGGGAGAGTCAGGCCTGGTGGTACCCCCGGGGCCCTCACAGTATAAAAGCAGACATATGCTACCAGAACTGTTCAGTATCTTCATCAACGATGTGGACAGTGGGATCGAGTGCCCCCTCAGCAATTTTGCTGATGACACCAGGCTGTGTGGAGCAGTTAACGTGCTGGAGGGAAGGGATGCCTTCCAGAGGGACCCGGACAGACTTGAGAGGTGGGCCTGTGTGAACCTCATGAAATCCTGCGTGTGGGTGGGGGCAACCCCTGATATCAATACAGGCTGGGGGATGAAGGGATCGAGAGCAGCCCTGCTGAGAAGGGCTTGGGGGTACTGGTGAGCCAGCAGTGTGTGTTCTCAGTCCAGGACAACCATATCCTGAGCTGCATAAAAAAGCAGTGCGATGCCTTCCAGAGGGACCCGGACAGACTTGAGAGGTGGGCCTGTGTGAACCTCATGAAATCCTGCGTGTGGGTGGGGGCAACCCCTGATATCAATACAGGCTGGGGGATGAAGGGATCGAGAGCAGCCCTGCTGAGAAGGGCTTGGGGGTACTGGTGAGCCGACAGTGTGTGTTCTCAGTCCAGGACAACCATATCATCAAAAGCAGTGCGGCCAGCAGGGTGAGGGAGGGGATTTTCCCCCTCTCCTCCACTCTAGTGATACCCTACCTGGAGTTCTGTGTCCACCTCTGGGGCCACCAACATAAGGGCATGAGCCTGTTGGAGCAGGTCCAGAGGAGGCCACAGAGATGCTCTGAGGGCTTCAGCTGGGAGGACAGGCTGAAAGAGTTGGGGGGGTTCAGCCTGCAGAAGGCTCCAGCGAGACCTTATTGCAGCCTTTCAGTAGTTAAAGGGGGGGGGTTATAGGAGAGATGGGGACAAACATCTTAGCAGGGCCTATTGCAATAAGACAAGGAGTAATGGCTTTAAACTAAAAGAGGGTAGATTTCAACTAGATAGAAGGAAGAAACTCTACTGTGAGGGTGTTGAAACACCGGCCCAGGTTGCCCAGACAGGCTGTAGATGCCCTGTCCCTGAAGACATACCAGGTCAGATTGGATGGGGCTATGAGCAACCTGTGCTAGTGGAAGATGTCCCTGCTCATTGCAGGGGGAATGTTGGATTAGATGATCTTTAAAGGTCCCTTCCATCTCAAACTACTCTGATTTTATGTCCTCGTCCCTGGAAACATTCCAGGTCAGATTGGATGGGGCTATACACTCTAGTGATACCCTACCTGGAGTTCTGTGTCCACCTCTGGGGCCACCAACATAAGGAGGACATGAGCCTGTTGGAGCAGGTCCAGAGGAGGCCACAGAGATGCTCTGAGGGCTTCAGCCCCTCTGCTGGGAGGACAGGCAGAGAGAGTTGGGATTATTCAGCCTGCAGAAGGCTCCGGGGAGACCTTATTGCAGCCTTTCAGTAGTTAAAGGGGGGGTTATAGGAGAGATGGGGACAAACAGCAGGGCTATTGCAATAGGACAAGGAGTAATGGCTTTAAACTAAAAGAGGGTAGATTTCAACTAGATAGAAGGAAGAAACTCTACTGTGAGGGTGTTGAAACACCGGCCCAGGTTGCCTAGAGAGGCTGTAGATGCCTGTCCCTGGAAACATTCCAGGTCAGATTGGATGGGGCTATAAGCAACCTGTGCTAGTGGAAGATGTCCCTGCTCATTGCAGTGGGGGGGTTGGATTAGATGATCTTTAAAGGTCCCTTCCAACCCAAACCACTTTCTGATTTTATGTCCTCCTATAACCGTATCTAGCATTATGCGAGGTACAAGCAGTCTTCCACTGTCACTCAGTGTTACAGTACTCTTTGATTCACAAATTTAGTTCTTTTGAAGCTAAGACTACGTTTTTTAATGGCTGTTAAGGGATATCATTAATATTTTGAGAAAATGAAATCCTCTTTTGGTCTTCCAGTATTTGAAGGAAAAAAAATAAATAATGCATTTGAACAGAAATAATTCAAATACCTACACATTACTTAAAACCCACCTCCTAATATTCTGACCCTTATGTATATTAAGGGTTAGACTAGGGCTCAGCATATACTGATGGCAAATACATAGTCGGTGTTTTCCATGTCTTTGATTCACAAATTTAGTTCTTTTGAAGCTAAGACTACGTTTTTTAATGGCTGTTAAGGGATATCATTAATATTTTGAGAAAATGAAATCCTCTTTTGGTCTTCCAGTATTTGGAGGAAAAAAAAAAAGAATATGCATTTGAACAGAAATAATTTAAATACCTACACATTACTTAAAACCCACCTCCTAATGTTCTGATCATTATGTATGTTAATAGTTAGACTAGGGCTCAGCATATACTGTTGGCAAATACATAGTTGGTGTTTTCCATATATCTAAGGAAGGATGTATCTTATTGGACTTATTTTTATGCAACTGTAATATAAGCAGAAAATGCATAAAGCACGAAAAGCCACCAGCTGATTTTTTCATATGATTAAAAAATTTTATTAAGAGTTTATAACAGACTCAGAAACCACAAAATTTCAGTATAAAATATCAAGGACTTTCTGTTTCAACCATTGAGATCCCACTTTTGGTGAAATGGCAGCACCAAGTTGATCTCCTTTGCTTCCCACCAGTAAGGTTAACGTACTGGTCTGAAGATGAGAGGAAGGGTAAACGCTCTGGGAATGCAGCTCTGATATTTTCAGATCTAACACTTCATTCACCTTGGAAGCTGGTTCCCTTTCCCGCTGGATGTTTAAGGACTGCAGCAGAGCCAGGGGTGGGTCCACACTGGTTTTTATAGAAACAAACCACATCTTGCTGAGGAAATCTGAGACACAACCTGTTTGCAAAGTGTATTGTTAAGATTAGCGATGTGTGCCTGGAAAATTTAGCAGAGTTGAGAAGTCTCAGGGTGTAGTTTCACAACAGCTGTAATCTCTCCAAACCCGTGGGGACTGAGTTTTGATCCCTCTCCAGCGCCTCTGACTGTGTATGATTCTTACCTGAGATACTTCAGCTCATTAAATTGACAGAACGTTACCCGGTGTCTTGGATTTGGCCAGACTTCTGCTGTTTTAATGAGCCAAAGCAGGTCAGTTGGGGTATCAAACAAAGCCCAGGGAGGTGTAAGGGCAGAGATAAGGGGGAGATTATCCTGTTGGGGGAAGTCATCCTCCCCCTCTGCTCTGCCCTGGTGAGGCCCCATCTGGAGCGCTGGGTCAAGTTCTGGGCTCACCAGTTACAGAAGGACAGGGAACTGCTGGAGAGGGCACAGCAGAGGCTACAAAGATGCTGAGGGGCCTGGAGCATCTCTCTGCTGAGGAAAGGGTGAGGCACTTGGGCATTTTTAGTCTGGAGAAAAGAAGGCTGAGGGGGAAACTGATCAATGCTTATAAATCCTTCAAGGGTGGGTGTCAGGAGGATGGGGCCAGGCTTTTCTCAGTGGTGCCCAGGGACAGGACAAGAGGGAACGGGCACAAACTGGAACATGGGAAGTTCCATCTCAACCTGAGGAGGAACTTGTTTGGTGTGAGGGTGGCAGAGCCCTGGCAGAGGCTGCCCAGAGAGGTGGTGGAGTCTCCTTCTCTGGAGACATTCAAACCCTCCTGGACACGTTCCTGTGGGACCTGCTGTGGGTGACCCTGCTGTGGCAGGGATTGGAGGAGATGATCTCCAGAGCTCCCTTCCAACCCCATATAGTCCTGGGATTCTGTGATAAGGTTATTATCCTAGTGCCAGCTGCACATGCACAGATTTAGGCTTAACCTGGAATGGAACCATAACCACAGTGAAGCACAAGCTGAGCTGCCTTCCCTATTTCACCCTGCATTAGATCATAGAACTTTGAGTCAGTTATATTTTTTTCATTCTAACCTTATGAAAATCTGTGGTTTCTAACTCCATGGCTTCTACAGTTCTCTTTTAAATAATGGAAGTTCTTTGAACCTGGAACTTTCAGTGTGCTCAGACTCTCTTGAGGGTCAAAACCAAAGGAAACGTGTGCATGAGTCTGGGTGAGGTGGCTGTACAGCAGAATATCCTATGTGGAAGAAACGATGCTCTGCTCTCCTGGTTGGCCCCAGAGAGAAGAGTGTTAGTATTACCATTAATTAGCCAAGGGAGCACATCTGTACCTCTGTCAACAGACATTAAAAGGCTGTATAAAACAGCTGAAGGGACAGAGCTTTAGTCCCAGCTCCTTTTATATATGCTGTTCATAACAGCTCTCCACATGTGCTGTACATGTGTTCGTACAGATCCAGAAATAAAACCTGGATCCTCCCCAGTGTATTAGAAAGAGTCCTTCATTCTAGTACTCATCATCATCTTCCAGGTCTTCCCCAGCAGTGGCAGCTTCCAGTGCAGCCAGAGCTGCCGCTACTTCTGCATCTTCCTCCTCAATTTCTCCACTGTGGCTGGGGTGTGCGAGTGCCTGTGCTACTTGGGGAACAGCCACAGCAGTGATACCACCAGGAATGCCCTCACCCAAACTCGTGGAGTCAGCTTTAAAAGGTCCAAAACTGCTTTCCTTCACAGGTGAAGGCAGAGTCACACAAAGGTCCTGGTCCTGTATTGGTGAAGGCCTGGTGTTTTGGTCTGAATGTGCACAATTGTCTGAAAAGCTGTCTTTTTCAACATAGTTCCTAGTTTGATTGTCATTTTGGGGATAATCAATGTCTGGCAGTTGTATGGTATTGTTTTGTGTCTCCACTATTGTGCTTCCTTTGAGAAAGGTGCTGTCTTCTGCAGACCAGGAGTTCCCACCTTGAATGCCGTTTGGCTCATTGCAGGCTGCTTTCCTCCATCTGTCTGCCTCTGGATCAAGTTCTTGGCCAGGCCTATCTGATCTGGTGTAGAAGTCTCTGTTGATGGTTAAAGAAGCCTCTGCTGACTGGCTGGAGGTTCCCTGGTCACTGGTTTCTTTCACTGGGTTTGTGCTGGGGCTGAGCACGGGGTGTGCTCCAGCACAGGAGCTGCCACCATTGACCGCAACGTCACGCTTTGCGACACACTTCACAGCACCATCCTCCTGAAAATCACTGCCTCCGTGGTTCCAGAGAGGTTCTTTTGTGCTATGGACCTGATTTTTATTTTCTGTTCTGTTTAGCTCATCCTTCTGGAGTTCATTTATATGCTCTTGGATGTCACTGTTCTCTTTGAATTTGGATTTTTTGCTGCTTTGCTCATTGTGTTTGTAGCTGTTGACTTCAGGAATACATCCAGGTGATTGTACTTCTTCTGGATCAAAAATATAGCTGGAGTAAGGAAAAAGTGTAGAGGAAATGTTAATTATGGTGCCAATCAATGTAATTAAGAAAAGGATTAAGCTTAATAATTTTTTTTTTAAAACTGGAGCTCTTGAGGAACTGGTGTCACTAAGCTTTAGCTGGAGTCCTGAGAATGAGCTCAACTGGCTGGAGATGCTCTGCTGTGCTGTGGGACTTGGGCTCCTGGGACTGACCGTGACTAACCCCTGCAGTAGAGTCACCAGGAGCACAGGGAGGAGGTCAGAGAACCCTGTGCTGGTTGTTGCATGTTTCCAGCTTTATTTTTTTTATTTTCTCTGAGGGGTATATTAGCCAATGAGTAGTCATCACATAGATTATTAATTAACATTGTGTAGTTGCTAAAATATTTCCCTTTACTTTTCCTGATGTTCTTCCTTTCAAGTCTTATCTCTTCATCCTTTACTTTTTTTTTTTTTACTTTTGTCCCCTCCTGTTTACTTTCTTAGTTAATTTTTCCTCTTGCTGCTAACTTTTCCTTGATTTATTTCTTCCAGATCCCCTCTCTTTTCTTCATCTCCCCTCCTTCTCTCATAGCACCAGTTTTCTTTCCCAATTCCTTACCTGTTCTAGAGATGTGCCCGAGTGAAGGAGTAACCATCAAGTTGGGCTGAAGTGTTGCCTTTCTGAAACTAGCAAGTCTCCTTCTGCCAGGAGACTTTTCATGTGGGATTTGTTCCCACAACTGACTAAATCTAAAATCTGTGATGGAAGCAAGAAGCTGAAGCTCTTTTTCATTGCCTGGGAGGACCTGACAAAGTCTGTACTCCTTGTTCTACTAAACTGAGGGAAGCTCATGCTACCTAAATGAGGAAAAGGCTTTGTAAAGATGAATTCAGTCCCAGACAATTATTCTGTGGGACAGAAATTATAGAAATCACAGTATGATATGGCATAGTCTGTACTCCTTGTTCTACTAAACTGAGGGTATCTCATGCTACCTAAATGAGGAAAAAACTTTGTAAAGAGGAGTTCAGTCCCAGACAATTATTATGTGGGACAAAAATTATAGAAATCACAGTATGATATGGATTAAAAGGGAGCTCTGGAGATCATCTCCTCCAAACCCTTGCCAGAACAGGGTCACCCAGAGCAGGTCCCACAGGAATGTGTCCAGGAGGGTTTGGAATGTCTCCAGAGAAGGAGACTCCACCACCTCTCTGGGCAGCCTCTGCCAGGGCTCTGCCACCCTCACAGCAAAGAAGTGCCTCCTCATGTTGAGGTGGAACTTCCCATGTTCCAGTTTGTGCCCGTTCCCTCTTGTCCTGTCCCTGGGCACCACTGAGAAAAGCCTGGCCCCATCCTCCTGACACCCACCTTTGAAGGATTTATAGGGGTTGATCAGTTTCCCCCTCAGTCTTCTCTTCTCCAGACTCAAAAGACCCAAGTCCCTCAGCCTTTCCTCAGCAGAGAGATGTTCTAGTCCCCTTATCATCTTTGTAGCCTCTGCTGTCCCCTCTCCAGCAGTTCCCTGTCCTTCTGGAACTGGGGAGCCCAGAACTGGTCCCAGTGCTCCAGCTGGGGCCTCCCCAGGGCAGAGCAGAGGGGCAGGATGACCTCCCTCCACCTGCTGCTCACACTCTTCCTGATGCCCCCCAGGATGCCCTTGGCCTTCTTGGCCCCCAGGGCCCATTGCTGGCTCCTGGGCATCCTGTTGTCCACCAGGACTCCCAGGTCTTTCTCCTCAGAGCTGCTCTCCAGCAGGTCAGCCCCAACCTGTCCTGGTGCAGGGGGTTATCCCTCCCCGGGTGCAGCACCCTACACTTGACATTGTTGAACTTCATCAGGTTCCTCTCTGCCCAACTCTCCAGCCTGTCCAGGTCTCTGTGGATGGTGGCACAGCCTTCTGCTGTGTCAGCCACCCCTCCCAATTTTGTACCATCAGCAATCAAATGGACCTCAATATGTTAAATCCAAAGTATATGCACAGGAAATTGCTGTGCCTGTGCTCTGGAATGACTGTAAAGGATAATGTAAAATTCGGGGAAAACTCCAACCTTTGTAAATAGGCTTAATTTAAGCAACAGGTGTAGGGGGAGCGCAGACACACGTCTTAATGCATTTCTTTTATTCACTCTGAGCAACACTTGTTCTGTTGTACCTTTGTATCATTTTGCAGCACCTGCACCCCATCTGGATTTTCTTTAATCTGAAAAGAGAGAGAGGGAAGGCAAGGGAGAGGGGGGGTGAGTGAAGCATCATGAAATGAACGTATGGGCAATTGCAATGAATATGATGCTGATGCTTAGAAGGGTTTTATTAGCTAAAGAGAAAGATCCCTAGACAAGAATGGATGCAGTATGATTGGGGAAAAACCTGGGGAAGAAATGAACAGTTCTTAAACAGAGAGTGGGGTTCTCCCAGAATATTTTCCTGAGCAATTTTATTATTTAGAGTCAGAGAGTAGTGCTGGGGCTTTTTTGGTGGTAACTTGGGTTTGTGTGGTGTGGTTTTTTTGGTTTTTTTTGTGTGTGTGTTTTTTTTGTTTGTTTGTTTTGTTTTGTTTTGTTTTTAATTTGGCAGCTATTGATGGAATTCTCTTCCATTGTTTGTTTTGTTTTGTTTTTTAATTTGGCAGCTATTGGTGGAATTCTCTTCCATGAATTTGTCTGGTTGTTTCCTGAACTCCAGTAAACTGCTGTCATCTGCAGCATCCTTTACTCAGGAACTTTACAGCTGGGTTGAGACTCTGAAGCTTATTCGGTTGAGCTGAGCCCCGTGAGGACGCTTTTTTGGGTTTGACTGACATCTTTAGTTAGTGCTTAAACCTGCTTCTAAACTGAAAAAACAAAAACTGGATCGAGTTGACCAACTGTGGAGAGAATCAGCCTATGAGTCTCAGTGGTTGGCAGGTCACCACACGTTAGATAAGTCACCATGAGATCTCTGTTTGGGGGGAAGAAGATGTAACTTGGCTTCTTTTAAGCTTCTTTCAGTACAGACTCTTGCCATCCCTTGTGCTCGCCATGGGGTAAGAGTGTGCAAATGTTATTTTAGCTCTGCTCAATTATGATAAGTTAAATTGCTGTCATTGCCCTGTGAGCCCTGGGACCTGCCCACACAGCTCCTGGCTTGGCATTAAAATAGGTTTGGTGAAACTGGTCCTGGTTTGTCCCCAGACCAGTTCTCAGATGACCTGCCCACACAGCTCCTGGCTTGGCATTAAAATAGGTTTGGTGAAACTGGTCCCGGTTTGTCCCCAAACCAGTTCTCAGATACTGCATCTGGCTGGGTGTGGGCACGTCAGGTCGGGCTGCCTCTCTTTGAACTTTTATCTGACAAGCCTCCTACTCAGTGCTTTTATATAAAATTTTTTGGTGGGTTTTAAATCACCAAATCTTCCTCACAGGTTTTAACCATTGGGTAGTGCCAATTGCTGTCCTTTATTCTGTTGTAACCGCACTTGTGGTCATCACAGAAGGCAATTATTAATGGAAATGACTGTTGTTGTTTTCATAGGAAGCACTTTTCCTGGTTGTTTGTTGTTTTTTTTTTTAATTACAATTACTCTTTGAATTATCTCTGCACCTACTGCCTTAAGCTTTTCCACTGATTAGTTACAACTAGATCTGTCCTCTGGCATGAATAAACTATTACATACGGAAAATACGTTATGTTATCTTATAAATTATTTCACATCTCTGAAATAGGAATATGGTTTTACAGTGTCATTGTCTGAACACTGGTTTCTTGGTTTTTTTCCCCTTGCACTTTTCTTTCACACGTATAATAATCTTTCAAGTCAAGTTGGAAAATAGTTCTGGGGAACAAATCGCTTTTATAGCATGAAAAGGCATTTTTAATTCTACTTATCTTGTTTTAGGTACCTTCTTCTCAAGACTTTTTTATTGTGTGGTGTTTGTAGTTCCATTAATGAATAGGTAGTATTAACGAGCTCCTGTCGGGAGCAGTTTGAGTCAAGCACATGCTACAGACTTGCAAAAAAACAGGGTCAGAGGGCTCAAGCAATGCATATTGATATATGATACTGACTTTAGCATCCTTGTCTGTTCAAACCTTTTTTGCTTTTTAATAAGACATTTATTCTGTTACATACTCTGTGCTGCTAAATTGATTAGATAATTTCAGATCACCATGACCTGATGTGGAGTGCTCCCTTACAGAAGACTAACTCCTACCCCCCAAAAAAGGCTGCCTGACTAAAGCAATAGTAAAATGCTTGGCTTTAATACTTTAATAGATCCTCAGAATTCAGCTCAAACTGCCATTAATCCCAGACATCATTCTTTCTCAGTCACAAAATTCCTGAAGGCCTGTAAATTTGTGTCACTGGTTATTATGCAGTCACTTAATCCTAAACACTAAGACATCATCTGGCATTAAAGTGCTACTAAAATGTTAAATACAGATATATTTTTTTTACAAAAAATTTATATATATACTGGAACATTTGGAGCAATTACAGGAAGGAGATGGAGCTGCTCAGGTGAGAGAAATGAGGGAGGTCTAGAATTATGTTCTTTTTCTATTCTGCTTAATTTTGATTTTTTGACTGTCCAGCTTTGAGTAGCTGCTGAACCTTCTGAACTTTGTCTCTGAGGTTGAGCTTGTACCAAGTTTTAAAAAATAATCAGATTTTTGCAGTGTGAGAGAGTAGGGTACCCTTGTGGTTTGCATATTGAGTGTCAGTGCTTGCTTCAGTTACACCGAGGATATTTTTCTTCGGTGAGAGGGAAGGGGCCCAACTCTGTGTGTGTTTCCCTCAGCCACCCCAGCAGAGCTTTAATTGACCACACAAAAGATAGTCTGGATAGTTAATACATTACAAGGACACTGAGTGTTCACAGAGAGACCAGGAAGACTTCGTGCTATGAAAAAGTGATTTTCTTCCTTGAAAAGAAAAGCAACTACTTTAAAATCAGTTGGGGGAAAAAATCCTACTGTGGGTAGTAATTAAACTTAATTTGAGGAGAGCAGAACAGCAGTCCCATCAGTGAAAGAAATGTTGAAAAAAGGGGAGGTTGTTAAATATTTTAATGGTGGCACCTGCAAAGAAAATAAAATAGGACTTCTCTTAAAATGTGAGACTTGGCTGAGGATAATAAGAATAGTATCTGACTGCAGAAATTAACCTTGCATTACAAACCACAGTGTGCCCTAAGAGAAGCCGCTTTGCTTTATCAGCTTTGAGAAACACAATGTATCTGATTTTAAATTATGCAATAGCGTAGCTTCTATTGTCTGTTTAAACCGTAGCTGTGTTAGGAATAAACAAAAAGCAAAGGAAAGATAATGCCATGAAAAGGGAAGGAGAAATATTTTTGAGAAATAAAAATAGTTTGACAGCCTTTCTTGATATTCTTGGATGTTTACATAGAAACAGCAAAAGGCCAATCTTATTTTTCTTCACAGTGTGGTTTTTTTCTTGTCATGATTTTTTTTTTAAATTTTATTTCTTAAAACCCCTCCAGGAGCAGAGGCAGAAAGGTGAGGAGACAGCATATTAAAACAGCTTTTCTAGTAGGTCTCAAATTGATAAACTCTGGCTCGGTGCCTTTTGTTCTGGGTCATTCTTTTTGAGCCAGTTGTTTTGTTTGTTTGGGATTTTCCTCCCCCCACACCCTGGTGCTTTATGAGCTTTTGCTGGTTTTTTGGGTTTTTGCTCTCCTCCATCCTTTCCCACTATAGATCACAAAATAAGGAAGGTGGTTTTTGGTTTTCTTTTTCCCCACGTGTGTATTATTTAGGCTGCTGAGCCCAAATGATCCATCTCCCAGGAGCCTGGGGCAGCTCTTTATCCTCTGTTTTTCTGATAGAGGCACCTTTCAGAGTAGACCCTGCTGGTGTCATCTCCATCACTGTGCAGTGCTTTGTGCTTCTCAGTGAAACCTGCCCATTCTCAGGGTACCAGACTCTGCAAAATTAAGCCTGGCTGCCTCACTGCTAGCACAAACACAATTTAATTAGTGGGGTGTCTTTTGGGGTTTTTTTGCTGGTGAGGTCTCATATAGGCACCAAACGGTACCCAGCTCAGAGACATACTCACAGAACCAAATCATAGAATCACAGAATGGTTTAGATGGGAAGGGACCTTAAAGCCCCCCCAGTGCCACCCCCTGCCCTGGGCAGGGACACCTCCCACCACACCAGGTTGCTCCAAGCCCCCTCCAACCTGCCCTTGAACCCCTCCAGGGATGGGGCAGCCACAGCTTCTCTGGCCAACCTGGGCCAGGATCTCACCACCCTCACACCAAACAAGTTCTTCCCCACATCTCAGCTCCATCTCCCCTCTTGCAGGGTCAAACCCTTTCCCCTATTCCTAGGGCTCATCCAGAGTCTCTCCCCAGCTTTCCTGGAGCCCCTTGAGGGACTGGAAGAGGCTCCAAGGTCTCCCTGGAGCCTTCTCTCCTCCAGGCTGAACCCCCCCAACTCTCTCAGCTTGTCCTCCCAGCAGAGGGGCTCCAAAACCTCTCTGTGGCCTCCTCAGGACTTGCCCCAACAGGTCCATGTCCTTCCTGTGCTGAGGACTCCAGAGCTGGACACAGTGCTCCAGGTGGGGTCTCCCCAGAGCAGAGGGACAGATTTCCCCCCCAACCTTGCCAGCCGTGCTTCTTTTGATGCAGCCCATGCTTCCTATGTTGGAAGAGAAAGTGTCTGCAGAGAAATATGTACAGAGGGAATATAAAGAATTTGGAGTGGGAATAACCATGGAGAGCACTAGCAGTTGGCAAACTTCTCCTAGTGGGAGGTGTGCTTTGCCTTCTGTGCTGAGTTCCCACCCCAGAAGCTTTCAGTCCCCAGTGTGTGCCAAGGTCTGAGAAAGGATCAGGTGTGTCTAGGTTGGAGGAGGGAAGGGCAAGGTGTTACGGAGGGGTGGAGGCAGAGGAACAATTGATCTGGATGACTGATAATAGAAAAGAAGCGTGACGAGATTGTGGGACAGATGGGAGAGCTGAGAAGAACTGTATTTAGAAATTTTTAGAAAACTAGTAAACATACAGTAGAAGAAAATCAGCAGCCTGTAGTAGAGGGTGGATAACAGGGAAAAGGTTGTACAGGAGGAAAGAGCAGAAACATAACTTCATTAGCCATGCACCGTGCAGGCTAATTACTACTGTTGGATAAATATATTCTGTAAGAACTGTCTCACTTGGCTCAAAATCCAGAGAACACTTCAAATCCTTAGGT